CCCCAAAACCCCAAAACCCCAAAACCCCTGACTGTGAGATCTTATTGGATTGTAAAAATCTAGATCATGTAGGTGAAACAGCTGGTAGATTTCTACTTGATAATCTGGTACTTCTGTTTTACGATATCTTTTTTGATGGCGATCTGCTTCTCATGCAGGGCAGCACTCCTGCTAGGGTCAGTCATCCCCTCTACAAGGTTAGTCAGACATGCTTACTTTTATACTCCTGGATGATATTGTTTCTTAATTCAATATCTTCGTGCTTTTGGCTGAAATATTTGCCCATAAGGGCAAAGCTGCTGGTCTTGAGATGTCCAAGCTCGTTTACTAAATTGACGACCTCTTTGAAGGTTGATTGCCTGATTTCTTCCTTGTGGATGAAGTCACCTATCATTTTGGGAGTTCTATTTCCTCTAAATTTTGTGTAAGAGTGGTATACCTTCATATAGCTCTCGTGAGAGTTGAGTTTTCCAACAAGGTTTTGAAACTTATTTGATATTCCTCCTGAATCGGGTTTTCAGTGGATAACTTTCCTTGATTTTGTTGTAAAATGAGGCTAAAATTGTACAAAAATTCGTACTTCTTCCTTCCTTGTACTCTGAGAACCCTCTGGAATAGCTTAAACTGAGGCTGAAGAGTTAAGAAAGACTTACTTTGGAGAATTCTTGAGACTATTATGGCTTGAGACTGCTGAGGATGCTCCGTAAATTCCCATCCCAGTCTTGCACCCTGATTTAAATTGCTTGTGATCATGAAGGAGTTTAGGCTGGATGTTGTAGAATCTGCTCACGATGAAGCTCTTAGGCAAAGGGGACAAAGTCTGATGCTTGGGTTTCTGGCTTTTCCCTTCGTTCTCTTTATTCACAGTCTTGTCTTTCTTAGCGTAGAGCTGGTATAGCTCATTCTTAAGAGAAGGTAAATTTGATTTGTTGGTCTTTTTACCATTAGAGAAAAATCATTTCCCTTTGTTAACGACTGAAGAGGTGCTCTTCAACCCAGAATCTAAATCACTACTGTTGATGGGAGCTATCATCAAACTTGAGTCGTAAAGGACAGGTTTGGCAGACTTCTTGTTAGACAGGGATACACTCTGCTTCGACCTCTGGGTTTTATTTCATTCCTTTCTCACGATGGATTTCGTCCAAGAACTTCTGCAAGCGTTCGTTGATCTGAGGCTTACTCGGTTTGATCAGTTTTCCATTCTTCTTATAGATAGAAAAGGAGTTAGCCTCGTTAATGAGCATCATTTGGAGTCTATTTCCGTTCATGTTCTTTGTTAACCCTTTGTTCGAGCTTGATCTGCTCAGGAGATTTCACTAGAAGCAGTTACTAGAGGATGGATACCTTCTTCAACCTTTGGCTCGGCTGCCTTTGTTGGTTTTTCTAGCGCAGCAAATGAGCCAACCATTCTTGAAGTGGCACCTTTTTGGACCTCATTAGGGATGATTTTTCTAAATTTAGGCAAATAAATTTATTTGGAAAATTATAAAATTTCATAGGATTTTATGAATTACTTCTTCAAAGTTAAGTGTCAAGGGTGGCCCCTCCTTCTGGTCAGGAGTAAGCTGTGTCTTCTGCTTGTGAGCCAACTGCTTCTTCTTCTGATCTAGCTCCTTCAGGATATCCGTGATTGGTGACGTGGTTTTATGTGGGCTGTGATCAGAAAGGAAAGCTTACCTTTTGTTCATTCTGAGCAACTTGTTTCAAATTCTAGATTATTACTACACTTCCAAGAATTTTAGCGAGGAAAGTAATATGTCTCCCTCGTCTTAAGACTTACGTGTGAGTTTTGAGGAAGATATCATCAACTATGGGTTATTAAACTAACGAAATGCTTACCCATTGTTTGCTTCTCTAATGCTTCTAGCTGGTTAATAGTGTCAAAACTTTGGTTGATCACTCTGTTTTTCTATAAGAGCCAAGTAGAGTCGATCCTCTCTCACCAAGGAGGTTAGCTAGCTTACATGAGTTTTGTGCATTTCAATTATTTATATAGTCTTTGGGGTTTTGGGGTTTTGGGGTTTTGGGGTTTTGGGG